TCCTATCAACGCGTCACCCCGTCATGTGTAAGATTATTTTAACTGTCTCCACGCTTGGTGTTTGCCACATAACTTCGAGGAGTATAGCGTCTCAGCTCAATTTGTTACTGTGTTTGATAGAGAAACCTATGTTTTGATGAAGAACCATGAATATTCTGAAATGATTACTAACAGATCATTTTCGCGCAACATCATCCAAACACGTGAATGAGCACGGTTTAACAACTTAAATCAGTCTTCAAATCAGACTATTCGACACTACATACTACAGCTTCAGAGACGAGCTAGTAAGTTCAATTTCATTGAATAGTTGCATATTCAACTTTTTGACCGCCCGATTACCAGGATAAACGATTCTAAACTAGAGAAACAGTTCAGATAAATCCCGTTCTACACCTTTCAAATAGCTAAAGACTTCTGTTTTATTTGAGAAGCTGTTATTCATGATTCTCGTGACGCCGTTACGAGACAACATGAAAATTTATTATCAAATGTAAATAAATATACTGATTATTCAATGTGTTAGCATTATATTTAAGTATTCGATATTGCGTTTCAAACTGTCAAAAATTACAATGCAATTTCATACTGAGTTCATTTTGCAACTGAGTAAGATAAAGAAACCAAATGCCGCTGGATAAACACATACGAAAGGACATAAAAGTTTATTATCGAATGTGAATATTTTTCTATAGTGTGGAAACCTCAGTCCAAAATGGAATTTTGTTCACTGAGTTGAATGGTTTGGTCGTGGAGCCCTTATTGTTCTTCTGGACAACATCATCAGCTGGTCATCACAAACATCTCTTGTCTTTCTTGTGTTAAGCTGCATTTTTGTAGTTCGTGTGCATTTCGCTATGTACGTTGCCGCAAGTGATGAGAGGTTGGACATTTACGAACTTCCTAGAAATTTCCTAGTCGTTTTACTACCAAATCACCGAATGATGGTGAATCAAGACTAGATGATTTGGATAAAAGCATGTATGCATTATCGCTCAATACTGCCTCCAGTAGTACTTCACATTTCATACAAAAATTAATTACCGAAACAGAAAGTTCCATTCATGTATCGTTGATACTGGTAGCAAAGGATTAATTATCCCTAAGTTAGATTTACTGTTTCTTTACAATGACGTCTATTCGAAACGTACTACTGGGGAAATCACCCTTATCACCAACCACCAGTTACTCATTATTGGTAGAGTTAACCTTCCGTTGAAGGAAGCAGAAGTTAGTTGTTTCAATATTCCTCACCTAGTTAGTGATTATCTCCCATCTGTACTTGGGCTCAATATTCTAGTATTGCTGGACGTACTCATATCTCTGTGTTCCAATTCAATGATCGAGGGCGTTGAATCGTATGAGGATAATATCGTTGTTCATGCCGAAAATATTCAGTTGTATAATAAACTTCTTTTAAATTCGTCTAGTCTCATTACTTGAGGTGCTGTCAAATGTATTCCGAGTTTATTCTCTACTTTAAGAGAATATTATCTCCGCTTTCTGACTTAGTTTGTAGTGAAGATTTTATTTTGAAACAACGAGACGAGGATGTTTTAGGGAACACCATGCAGTTTTCAAATGGTGAGGCTGACTGAACTGTCTGTCCTCACTTCAGAAGCATCGCTGTTTAGGTGAGTAGAGGTGAGGTTCTGGAATGGAATATGAAACCTGTCACCATTATTTCGACACGATCAAGGAAGAGTTAATAAGGATACTTTCAGCTCGTAAAGAAGGCTTTGGTTGTGGTATGATCACAAATACTTGTTTGGTGTAAAATTTCATATTGTAACTGGTAATCAGACGTTGACGTTTATTTATCACCCGTTTAAATCACTTCATCGGTAATCCACTGCCACGGTCAAGGGATGGAATTCAGATTTGATTGCTTATGATTTCACCATTCAGTTTGAAGTCCTCACTCATCAGACAAGTGACCTTGTCCTCTCACCTAATAAGAATTACGCGAATTTCATAACAACTCTTGCAGGTTGCTGTAATAATTGGTAAACACAATACCAACAACTGGGCGATCGCTCACTAAAGAACATAAATCTCGATTAGTTGGTCTTCTGCGGAATCAGGATTGAGTGCTGTCGCACGAATCGTCATTATGCATTGTCAAAAAATATATTATCAAACTGAGCTCAGCGTTATCGGATGCTGTCAAATTCTCCAGTGAAATCAGTCAAAACGATGCAACCGGAAAAATGGACCACAAGTGATTTGAAATCCCAAGGAAGTCGAGAGATGAGTTTATTATCAACGCTGACCTCTACGGATAATCGGATTCCTCTATTTTGATGTACATTCGATTTAGTAATGATATTGCAAATCCACTCGACTTCCTATTAATCTGATTGAGCTACAGTTCGATTTTAGTCGTTTGTGCAGCTCAGTCACATTCTCACCACTCATGCAAGATGTATGGACGAACAGTAATCACGCAAATCAGTACAAAGTTATCGAATTATATTAGTTTATTCCACTGTCCGAGAATACTAACCTGGCTTCCAACTGCTCAACAGTCATAATCGAAATTGTTAGAAATGTGAGCAATATCTGTTCAATATAGACTTGCATGGGTATATTCATCTAGACAGAATATCAACGATTTCTGTAGATAATCAGCTGCGGTTTGTCAATATACGCTGAATTACGAGAAGTGTTCAGTAGAATCCCTACAGTCGTATATGAATCAAATTCATGAATATATTGCTGCATGGAGTAGTTACATGACTATATTGTTAAGTGACGAGTATGCATTTGGAACATTGAAGTCAATAAAATTTCCTGTGTACTTAATTACTATTTACTCTAGTAACATAGTTCTTGAACGCGAACTGACATATGGAAATAGCTTGATCGCAACTCGCAAATGATTCAAAGAAATTCTAAACTCCTATTAACCATAAGGTTATCACAGAGTGTCATGAGAAATAACAAGTCGGTAACGACAGAAAAGATTGTATTCACTCAAACAAGGTGTAAACGCACAATTCAGATAATTTAATAAATTGAGTGGATTATTGAAAAGTGACAAAACGGCTGCATAATAATGTATTTAGCGATTAAGTTTATTAATATATGGGTACAGCATTCTTTGCAGTATTCACAAAATTTTACTGGAGTTTAAGTGCTACAAATCAACATTGAAACGACTCATAAAAGAAGAAAAAGGAGAGCAACAGAACATTTGTTAAATCAGTTATTGCATCGATTTGCGAATAAAATAAATCAAATAAATCACAACGATTATCATCATTTTGAAACGTGAGTTGGAGAACTTTCCAGCGTCATCTAGACTAAACAATATCACGCCTTTAAATTTAGTAAGATCATGCAAACAAATCACGGTTATAAAATGTTGTCTAATTCGTGTAATCAATAACGAATGTGTTAAATTATATATGGTTTCAACACAAATGATCACAATTAAATGTATTTATCAACTGGACAAACTGAAATAGACCATAAGTAAATGGATATCCCGAGAAACGCATAAATGAAAACATAGTCAATAAAAGAGAGATTAGAGGATGTCTAACTTTGAATATGAAACATCTGTATATACGCTTACAATTCAGATGCGATGCACCTGGTGAAATGCTAAGACTGAAGTTACGCTGATCATTCAAAGAACTTTTATTGCAGCTAAACTACAACTATTGTTTTCCAGATGTACAATAATCACTCTGAGGCTGAAATATTAATTGCCTAGATTAGCCACCTCCTTCTGTATCTATCAATTCAACTGCTCCTGTGAAGCAAGTTATATTGGCAGATGTTATAGGAATTTGTGCATTTGAGCTCGTGAGCGCCTGCAAGTGTGGCTAAGCAGAGGTATGATCAAAACAGTTAATGGTTCCATTTAAAACCATTTAATTCAGACGGGACATGCAGCCAACATGGAGCGATGTTTGCCAATAATGTATCATGTTAACAGCAGTCTACCTAATTCCGTCAGACTGAAAATCCCTTTACCCTGACCAACATCGGGCAAATTAGTTAATAATCAATCTTATAATATGGTGACGTATTTTGATTAATGTTCAATTTTATGTCTCAAATTAATCTCACTATTATCATTATTATATTTACGATTGTTATTATCATCTTTATCATTGTCATTATTGTTACACTTGATAACCGTTTTGAGATATTTATTCAGCATCCACCCATATCTGCTATATCTCACACAATTCATATTATTCTACATATTACGTAATTTTTGAGTTTTATTCCATTATATTCTCTCTTTTATCCCATGTTCTCCATAGTTATTGCGATCGTTTATCCCACAATTTCATTTCGCTTATAAACTGATTCAAGTTAACAACTTTATATTACTCAACCTCAACATTAACGATTTGATTTGATTTTATATGTCAAACAACAATTCTTGATTCAACTTTTACAATTTTAAATGAAGTACTCTGCCTTAAAATTGGCCGATTTTATGGATTTGCTATTTTGGATTCATCATTGTAGAGTACCTGGTGAGAAATTCATTGAAAACTATATTCTTCATTCATTTAATTGTGTTTTGAAATAAAATTCACTGTAAATTATCCGAATTCTAACTGTAATAATCAAGATTCTTATTTGATTGTGTTCTCGAATTCTCTTGAGTTTTCCTTCACTGATTATTCGAAACTAATGGACAGTCATTTGAATTGTGACTTATTACGGAATTCAGAATGTGATTTCCATCTTATTTAGGACTGATCACCCGTATGTATCTGTTGATGTTCACACTGAGACGTCAACCGTATTTACTGATCGCCCCAAATACAATCAACTTGTGTTTAACAGAGATGCAATCATATGAATTGTTTTGAAGATTTTAAAGACTTCAAGTGAAAAGTATCCGTTTTACATTGTTCCTCTATACACTTGCATCAATCAAAATCGTTTGTAAGTTCATTTTCTATACAATGTATTACTGATAATTACACAAAAGAATTTAGTTTATGAAACAGATTTAATTGACTCACAATTCACACTATTGTGTTTCGACGATTAACTTCATTGACAATATTCGTTAAGAATCGATGTTTCACTGAAATGTTTGAAAACAAACACTGAGTAATTCATTTTGAAATGGAATAAACGATGTAATTTCACGAACTAATTTCATAGAATGTTTTATGAAACATTCACTTCCAAAGTGTGACTTGTGTATTGTTAACTAGTACATTCAGTTGTCTCTCTTTGTGTGGGTTATTTTGTGAATAAATGCACCATTTTTGAATAGGAATGCAAAATTTGCATAAACACTACATGTTTTGCTAACAAACTGTGGTTGAGTATAACTTACATAAACGTTTATTGTATTTCGTTACAATGTCGTATTTTTTGAAAACTGATATAAGTAACTCGGAAATGTCTGGAAAATATAAAGGGATAATCATATTTGGAAACTGAAAACATATACATATCTTGCACTCCCAATTGTAATCTACCATATACCAACTGATTAACTCACTAAAACGGATTAAATAACGTTTGATTATGAAAAAATTTTTCAAAAATTCGAGAAATATGGAGCCGATAAATGTAAGGCTATATGGTCTGACAAATACACATGAAAGTGGCTTGCCCCTTCGACCTAATTTAGATATGTATAATCCAGCCCATCATGCTATAGCAAAATGATCAGTTCGAATTCTCAAACCGTTGAACAAAGAAATTGTGAAGGATGATGTCAAGATCTCCGTTGAATTTGTGGATAACATGAAAAATCTATCGGTCAAAAATAACTTCATTATATAATTAAACTTCGGGAATTGGAATTATACATATAAACAATGAAAAGGTTGTAAGGGATTACTTAGAACAAAGTTTTATGTAGAATGCAGGTGTAACAGGAGTAGGTAAATATGTAAGCAGTGTTCACAAACCAGACAATTCCATCCAAAAGATGTTTTCACAATCACACTCCGTACCTCGGTTGATGATATAAGAGCGAGCTCTGGTCAAATCCTTTCTTTTAAAAGACATCTAAATGATTTTCTAACTGATCTAAAAATTCTTCACTCCATCCAATCCTTTTACTGAACTTACCATTGCTCTTAAGTCTAAATAATTGAGAACTGAGAAGAAGACCTCCTATTGTTATAATCTGTAAATCACTCAACGGTACGAATTATTAATAGATCGGTGAGTCTTTTCAAGCGTTTGGAAAGACAGGGGGAATGGCAATAGTGTGAACGTAAGTCACCTGATAAATGCAGTCGGTGCAGTTGAATAAATCAGAAGCCTGTTGATAATTATTGTTAAGTTTATATCGTTCAAGTAAATTTCACTTGAATATAAATAACAGTTGATTGTTGGAAGTAGTTTTATGTCAATGTTATGATAGAAATCATGGATACACAATGTGTATCACAATTAAAAGTGTGATTTACTTCAGCTTACCTTCGTTAGATTCTGATCCAGGTATTGCACATTTTCTATCTGTCAACACTGTTTAAATAAAAAATTTTATATTGAATTTCAATTTTTAGCACAACTTGCTTGTATTGCTTCATATAAAAGAGATGTTCATCAGTTGTATGCAGTCAAATTCAAATACATTTTATGTAAATGAAAATACACGTTTTTAAAATGCGAACAGGATCAAACCGTCAAATCCTGTCGCTACAAATTGAAAAGAAGCTCCACTCATTTCATAACGCTTCTTACTATTCATAAAAAACACGAATTATCTCAGCATTCAGTCCTGTAAGATATTCAGGTACATGAGCAGCTGGTAAACTAGCAATAGGTCCAGAGTTTCCAAACATACACTGATTTTATGCCTCACCGCGGGTTATTTTCATGACGTGAATTTAATCACTCAACTAACAGATATAATGAACATCTAAGAGTGACATGAATTTCTGAGGAGTAAAGTCCCAAGAAGCCAACATCATTTACAGTCAAACATGTCGTCAGGTCATCTTATTTCGAAGACAAATTAACAAATAAATTACAACATTTAACCAAATAGTCATGAATACTAACTCTTACCGTTATATTCGGATAGTTCTGTACTGATGCACTGGTGTAAAGTCAAAGATTCCGGAACTTCTATATCTACATATACCAGAATCAATTAATAAATAGACTTCAAATACAGTCAAGTACAATGGTACATAGATAACATTCTCTATGAAAACCCTATTCGCCATATCATGATATGTCAGACTGAATATAGATTATATTCACCAATAATAAATTTATACACAGTATGATTAACGAATTGATAAAGTGAAATATATATAGCAAATTTTGGTCAAATCATTGTCTTGAATTATACAAATTATTAGTGATCCAAATACATACTGTGTGAGTTGATTTTGGATATTATGTTCTGAAACGCTAAAATATTTCAAAAAGATCAATATCACAATTGTGTATGGAGAAAGTGGGTTTGTTTCTGCCTTAAATAGATGAAATAGAAAAGTATGAAAATCTACGTTTTGTATATATTTAGAATATTCATTGTAACTAGTAACCAGTGTGTCCGTTTTGTCGACTTCTCAGTTTACTGCAATAGATTTTTATTTATTTTTTAAATGTATCCAACAGTAGAATCTGAGTTACGTCAACGGACATATTTGGGACTCGTCAACTGGATTTTCCTTTGTTTTAATGCTGACGTTAACACTTGAACTTTAACAACATATTTGTTGCAAAATATTGTAGACAGATATTTTGAAATTTATACACATGAAAATCTTCGACATCTGACCACATACATTATCATCATCCAACTGCCAAATGATAACGAACAGTGTTCTTCGGAAATGTATACACATTTCTACTGTATAATCATTCAGATAATTAATTTATTGAAGTCATTGTGAAATTTCAGTTCTCTCTCCCAACAAATGTATCTCATTTTATAAATGCTAATGAGATTAGAAATACAATCATTCTGGAACAATAAGAATTTATTCATTTCACTCAGTCTATGCATCGCTTCACTGTTTAAAACAGTTGTACTGATTATTCAATATGTGAATGTGTATACATGATATCACATTTACGTATTAGCAAATTTCAGAAGACAAAGAGAATGGGTTAGTAAACGGGATCCAATATGGAAGAACTTTATGGGTTGTTATTGTGGTGAGTGTATATGAATATTTTAACATGAAGAGAGTACTGAAAGCTCTCTAATACAAGTAACGTTTACAACAAAAAGTTGACGTAACAGATTCAGTACTTCCTTCTAATAAAATTTTGACTTGTTAAATGCTGAAAATATGGCATGACAGTGATTAGTTAGTCATTAAAGAAATTTCTCATTCTTAAACTATGTATACAATAAAAGTGCACACGTGTAGCTCATAGTAAGAAAAACCATTTATTTTATCAAAAGTGAGATAACATATTTAAAAATACTTTCACACACCTTCATTAAATTTACGTGCCATAAACCGTTTAGTTATAAATTGTAAGCAGTTCACATCTACAATTCATCAATTTTATTAAAGTATTACTATTTCATTCACATACATTTGCTAATAGTTTCTCGATCAATTGAGAGCTTCTGAACAACCACATCTAAAATTTAATATAAACGGTAAATGTTTGATTATCTGGCTGCATCACTAAGATTTTAGTATACCTTTTACAGATTGTTTTATTAAGCGATTTACAAAATAAAGATAAAATGACACTTTATCACGTCTATACACTATCTACTATCGAATGGAAATCAACCATACACATCATTGAATATCATAAAGTGAATTTAATATGTTCTGAATGTTTCAAGATTATTATTCTGGAAGAGGTGAATTGATTAATTCAATGAAGATGTGTCCAGATAGTAATTGCAACGTACTAATAAAATTTTACTGTTCATCTTAATCACTAAACTATTTCATACATTGTAATGAGTACAATCAACTAACAACTTCAATACAACGTTTATCGAAGTCAGCTGAATAAAATAAATAATCTATGCTGAGAAATGAAATACGTTTATAACAAGAATGAATTGATGATTAAATTACTTATTTTTTTTTCTATTTCATTGTTAGAATTCGAAAGATTCAATTCATTTTTCTTCAACTTATCTAAAAATAGAACACAAGATACAGTTGAAATATAAAGTGATTACATAAGAGAGAATGTGCGAATGCAAACAGATGATTGTATATACATTTTGTCTAGCAAGAAAGTCATACATGGATGCAAAACAATAAATGCAAACATTCAAAGCCGGAAATTGATTGCATAAATGGTTTTAACATAAAATCCATGCAAACTATTTACCTACTATCTATCCACACATTTATATATCTATCTAACTATCCATATTTCTCTTCATGTATATAACTATTTATCTTTCTATATGTACACATATAACGCTTCTACTTTACAATGCTACCTAATTGTATATCCAAGATTGCTCGTTCTCTTAATACATTCCTCTAATTCGTCACTGTATTCAGTCAATTCGAATATCTGGACTATCCGAGTTTATCATCTTCACAAACTTTTACCATTGTCTATGTTTGTCGGTTCTGAGTTAGAGAAACATCTAAATTCAACATTTTAATTGAATTAAATTAATGATTAGGGGGGATGGTCATAATTATTCGACTCATAGTTGATTTCTTATGTTTTCTGAATGACGTTTATTTATCTTTTACTTCAATTGAATGTGAACAATGAATCATACTGCTAGTGAAGAAACTCAGTCAGAAGGAAAACTGCGTATTTCCATCCTGAAATCTCACTTGTGTACATAATTCGCTCATTCACATATGATAACCAAGAGTATGACATATTGACGAATCTACAACACAGTTACTTGTTATAGTATTTATTCTGCTCGTTATTTTGTACAAATTATTTTGTTTCCTTTTTGCACCATCTACAATTTGAACATAATTAGGTTTAGTTAAAAGTGCGAACAAATACATGGCGTGAAACAATGAAATTAGGAGAGGTTGTTCTCTGTTCTACGTTTGATTGTTTACGAATAAATCATAGAGCACAATTAGGAATAATGGCAATCAAATGATATGTTCAGAATATTCCTGATCATTTGTAAAATCACGAAACAATTACAAGATGTAAACTATGTTGGCATTGTTAGCCAATTCACATCGTGATAAACGTTCAACTAATATTGTTCACATACTATTACGTTGATCAAAGTATCATCCGAAATTTAATCATCACACAAACACATTCACTTTTGATTTAAGCCAATTCCTTCTGTTTCAACTAAACTTTTATAGAAGATCAGATGCGATTGAGTTTCCTCCCATTCTATTTAGTTCAGCCCTTTTGTTAACTTATTTATTCTATCGAGTCATCCGTACAATAAAAACTTATCTATACTATTGTATCTTTATTATTGTTACACTTGTATGAATATGTATGCTTGAACAGTGCTTACTGCCTACGCATACATTCATTCTGCTAGTCTTACTATCAGTCGTTTGATTGATTCGATGATTCATTCATTTCACTATGTATATTTATGTAAATTTTAATCCTGTTCATTAACTCGCTGACTCGAGGACTCACTCGCACACTCGCTCATACGACTTACACACTCACTCGCTTGCGTGTTTGCTTTTCAGCACTACACTTTCCAGCTTGCTTAGCGCATTTGTAAATTTAGATATCTGTGTGGTGCAATAATAAACGCAATCAACACTTCGAATTCGCCTTTTGATTAATACGCCGTTGGGGCGTCATCTAGTGATGGTTATCAAGACGGACAGTAAACAGAGTTTAAGGATTATATTGAATACCGATCACCACACCTTTCTCATGTTATCAAACTAACAGTGTTTGAAACCATTGCGATCAACTCAGATAACACATCATCAGACTTTGAAAGCTTGCAACAAACCATGCATCGTTTAAGTAGAGGTTTCACAACCATTCACTTAATTTTATGGGTCTATTGGTTCCGAAGAGTTATCTGCTACCCTGATAGACGTTTCAAGAGAACACTCTCTTCAAAACTTCCATTACCAATGAAAAATACTTGGAGGTATCTGAATGTTAACTGAAATATATTAACGTGTTTCAACTCAAATATAAACATTTTCTTTCAGTTACATTATTTGAAAATGACAAAATATACGCATTATACAGATTGATACAAATCACTAAAAATATTGTCAGTAGTGTGTATATGAAAAGTTGATGAAAAATGTTGGAAGGCTTACCGACTTGTACTGAGGCATGTAGAAGCAAAAGCAACACGTTTATGTGAAATAATAACATATGCTTCATATTTAATGTGATTATTCTCTTGAGTTTTTGCTCCTTATATATTGTCACCAATCGCTGAAAAAAAAACTGTCATTAAAAATGATTTACTTAGTGCCAACAAACGTGATGACAAAAATAACTAACTCAGATTTATTTCAAATTATGTGGAATTCACAGTGTTATAATGGCTTGATACTGAATAATCATTCAACTACCACTAGTTCAATGCTCTAAAGCATATTTATACAATATGAATAGAAATCATTGTTACTTATACCTACATTTGTGTTAGCCCCATGAACTTGAATTAAACGTGACAAATGAAGAAAAATATGAAAATTTTAATGTGATGAATATTTTTAAAGTTCATTAACACAATAGATATTATGTGAATTCAAAATGAACAGATTAAAACTATAATTAATGCTACCACTATTACAATAACCGTTAACAAATCCACCAAGAATCTTTCTCTTTAGACATGTTTTAAGTATGAATAATTCAGCCTATAAAGCTACAAAGAAATGATAAGTACTAATTCTCAAACTGTTGCACAAATAAATTATAAGGCGTTGTATCAACAAGTGGTAAATAAAAAGCTAAGAAATGAGGTTAAGAAAAAAATATACTTCAGCCAAATTGGATTCAATTTTCTACAACCACTCAATAATAAAGGCAACCGCTGAAGACAGACTACCTAAATTAGCCGAATCCATGTTTATTTACCAATTCAACTGTTCCTGTGAAACCAATTATATAGGATATACAATTCGGAAATTCCGACATCATTCCATTGTAATGTGTGACTTGTGTATTATTTAGTATTACATCCAGTTGCTTCGCTTTGTGTACGTTATTCGTTGAATAAATGCACCATTTTTGAACTACAATGCAAAGTTAACATGAACACTACGGGTTTTGCATGTATACTGTTCATTAGGTTACATTTATCTTTACAAATAAAATTTGGTTGTGTATTACTTGCATAAATGTTTATTGTAATTCATTACAGTTTCGTATTTCTCCGTAATAAATTTTGGTAAACTAAAATATCTCGGAAATATAAACGGATAATCATAATTGAAAACCTAAAACATATTCCTTTTCCTCCATGTATAATCTACCATCTACCAACTAACAGACTGACTAAAACAGATTAAACAAACTTTTCGTTTGAAGACGAGAAATGTAAGGCTATATGTTCTGATAAATACACATGAAAATGACTTGCACCTTCGACCCGTTTTAAATGTGATTAATTTAGTTTATCAGTCTATAGCAAAATGATCAGTTCGAATTCTCAAACTGTTGCACAAAGAAATTGTAAGGCGTTGTATCAATGAGTTGAGTATAACTTACATAAATTTTTATTGTAATTCTTTACTGTTTGGTATTTCTTTTCAACCAATGTATATAACCTTGAAATGTCTGGAAATTATCAAGGGATAATCATATAATAAAACTGAAAGCACAATTATATTTTCCACTTATAATCTACCATCTACCAACTGATAAACTCATTAAAACAGGTTAAATAACGTTTTATTTTGGAAAAAGTTTTCGAAAAGTAGAGAAATATGGCGAAGATAACAGTAAGGCTATATTGTCAGACAAATATATATGAAAGTGACTTGCATCTTCAATACGATATAGAGCCCAACAACTCGTCATGCTATTGCAACATGATCAGTTCAAATTCTCAAACCGTTTCACATAGAATTTGTAAAGCGTAGTACCAAGGACTCCTTTGAATTTTTGAATAACATGAAAAATCTATCGGTCAAATTGAACTACATGATAAAGTTAGATGTTTTGTCTTCATTCAGTAACATTCCCCTATTGGAAACAATGTATTGTATTTGCAGTGAACTAGTAGAGAGGCATATAAAAACCTTAATTTCCGTATCTGCAATAAAACATGTCATTCTTAGATGTCGGATAAATGTCCAGTTCCTACTTAGCAATAAATACCATCGAATATTGAAAGGTGTTAACTTCGGGTTACCATTGAGCCTTCTCCTGGCACACTGATTTCCCTCACAACTAGGAAATGGACCAACTAATGACATAATTATCCATCCAACATCTCGCTATCACCTTCATTGCACCAGAAGAAGAATATGAGAAGGATAATTTACTAAATATGTTTGATGAAATTCATTCATCTATAACAGAGCAATAGCATCTCGCTTTTAGATGTCCAACTAACAAGGAGAGTAGGCGGGGCATTAAAAAGAGGGATACTTTAAAAATATGCAGTCGGACAATATACTTATTTCTGTAGTGATGTACCAATCGGATATAGAAGAAACTTAGTCAAGATTGTGACTCATCGTGATAGAATGATGGTCTGTGTTGGCACCATTGTAGATGTGTTGAGTAACATTGTGACCTGCCTAATAAGAACAAGTATACAGATATCAACAAACACATGAGTGAGGTGAAAAGGATACCAAATGTATCTACAGTCTCGAAGGTTGGATAGAACCAAAAGATTTTTACTTCGCAGATGACCTGATTCTTCTATCTCATACACATCAACAAATGAAGACCAAGACAAACCATGTCGCAGCAGCACACATAGCATTAGTCATTAACACTTACAGTAGGAAAAGCATGATTCTCAAATACAACACGCAGAACATTAACACAATCACACCTAATGAAGGAACTTTGGAAGAGGTGGAATCTTTCATGTATCTGTGTAGCATCATTGATAAACGTGGAGGATCTGATGTAGACGTAAATGCAAGGATTGGCGATGCAAGGAGAACATTCATACAGATGAACAGCATATGGAACTGAAAACTACTGTCAACCAATACCAAACTCACAATCTTCAATACGAACGTCAAGACAGCCCTACTGTACGAAGCTGAAACTTGGAAAACTACCGCAACCATCATCAGATAGGTACAAGTATTTACAAACAACTGTTTCCGTAAAATACTCAATATACGTTGACCGGATACGATCAGCAACAACCAGTTGTGGGAGAGAATAAGCAAACTTTCAGCAGAGGGCAAATTAGGTAAAGACGTCTGGGGTGAGTAGAACACACAACGACAAAATCGCCATACTGCATCATGAGGCAAATGCCTACTTGGAATCCTGAGTGTGAACGGATATGACGAAGACGAAATAACACACCCGTCAGAAGTTGGGAGTAGAGATGGATAAATTAAGTAGCAAATGTAAACAATGGATAATATTCCGTTTGGTAGGGGACTTAAAATTATTAAGAACATGGACAGTAACAAATATTCAAGCACTAGAAAAACATTTGCAACGGAATAATCCGAAGATAGTATACATCACACTATTACTACTAATATTTCTCCGATTACGATTAATACTGCCACTAATATTACGAACACTTTTACTGTTATTAGTACCACAGCTACTCCCAAATGCAACTGTCACAATAACTAATGATCTTACATCTATTAATCTTAATACTACTATCAATGTTACTGCGATTAACCTTACAACAATTAGTACTACAAGTGCTACCACCACATAGATTAATTACTGCTCGAACTCTGTTATCAGGTGTACTTCGTGAATGGCCATGACAAAGCATGAATAACCTATGCATAATGACAATTCGTATAATCAATTCAAATTCGAGTTTGCGTGCAGACAAAAAGAACTGAAAGTGTTTCATATCACAGTACTGATCTAAGAT